GTGACAACACCCTCTCCCTGAAATACACACGAACACGCAGCTCTCCCGCATGGGCTTCCCACCAACACCCTGAGAGCTGCCCTTCTGCCCATTGAGACCTCTCCCCAGCCCTGGCCCACAACCAGCCACCAGACCCTTCTCACCACAATGCCACACCACCAGGGACAACAGAGGGCTGCTTTGTGCCAGATGCATTACCAAGGCCACCTCAATTAATCCTGAAAGCAGCCCTAAAGACAGACACTCTCCCCCGTGAGACGAGGAAATTGCCACACAACACTGGAGTCAACCTGCACAAAGACAACAAAAAAGTTCCTCACAACCTGCTGAAAAGAGTGAGTCCCCACCTGCTGCCATCTGGAAGGGCACAGGAAGCTTCTTACCTCTACAAACATCGGCCCGAAGACCAGGGGGAGGCACAAATCCCACCACAGGGCTTCCAACCTACAGCCCTAAGCATCCAAAAACATTAAGACAGACAAAAAACTGCAGTCCAACTGCAGTGGACTACAGTGGATGTTATAGCCATGATTCACCAGTGACAAGGGGTCAGAAGTTGTAAGTCAATGGTATGAAAACACTATCACCACTCCAGGCTAACAGGTGGCCCAGCAGGAAACTCTGAGATATGATGTCATTTTATCTTCCCAAAAGGAAGCAGGTGACGGCTCATCAGCTCAGCACCTGCTCGCTATAGGAGGCCTGGGCTTGTTTGCACCTTGCTCCACACAAAGTTCAGATGACGCCCACATTGGGCTGCGTACCCCCTGACGCGCAACTCCTCCTGCTAGAAGTTCCAGGTTCTTCCCTGAAATAGACCAGATGCTACTGCAGCAATTATGGAAAGAAACTGAGGAAACAGCATGCAGAATGCTGAGGAAGAGACAGCCCACAGCACTCGTTCACATCTTCTCTTGACACTGGCTTCATGGGAGCTGGCCACACAGTGGTGACAAAGACACTGGTCACCACAACAGCAGCAGCGGGAAGGAATGATGTGCTCTGCATGCACAATCAGCAAAGGAGGGCAGTTACGTGGCACCCAGGTAAGCAGATCAACACGGGCACTGTCTTGACACTGCTCACAGAAGTACAATAAACTGCAATGTTTGTCTTCCAAAGGCCAAACTCTAGAAAATGGAAATACCACTCACCCAGCCATCCCACTTCAGAAATTCACCCTGAAGAAAGTGTTCAAAGAGTCTATGACAGCAATGATTATAACAGCTAAATATTCAAGGGAGAAAAATAAACGCCCAGCATTGGGCTTATATAGAATAGGGTACTCAGGCAGGGGACAGTGGCTCATGCCTGTAATCCCAGGAATCTGGGAGGCCGGGGCAAGAGGATCGCTTGAGGCCAAGAGTTTAATACCAGCCTAAGCAACACAGCAAAATCCCATCTCTACAAAAAATAAATTAAAAATTAGCTGGGCATTGTGGCACGCACCCATAGTCCCAGCTACTCGGGAGGCTGAGGCAGGAAGATGGATCACCTAGGCTACGAGTTGGAGGTTGCAGTGAGCTGTGATGGCGCCACTGCACTGCAGCCTGGGCAACAAAGTAAGACCCTGTCTCTAAAAAAATAAAAAATATATAGGGTAGCCACTTAATCACATATTAAAAAGCTACTAAAATGATGTGAACAAACATCTATTAGCAGAGAAAGATGGACACGATCAATTATTCAGTACAAACAGCAGACAAGAACACATGTGGACAAGAGTATGTGTCTGCTGGTCCACACAAAGGTCTGGAAGCAGTCCCCATGACACTGTGATCTCAAGGGGGACCAGGGGTCTGTTCTTCAGTGACCACACATTACTTTTAGTAAGAACAAAACAGAAGTGACCCTTTGAACCTTTTCTAAAATGAGGCCTGCCACCTTGGATCAGTACCCTTTTGGATCAGTACCACAGTGGCCTGACACCTTGTTCTGACCCACTGCTACGTTGCCTCCTTCACATTTAATCTCAGTTTGTTTAACTGCCTCTAAAAGACTTGGAAATGCAATTAGCTGTTCCACCCTATGAGGCTCTCTGACTCCCCACACCAAGCCAGGACGGACAGCAATGGACCATGCCACCTCAGAGAATAGCAGCCAAGGGCACGAGGCTAACACAGCCAGCCCAGGACACATGTGATAAGGTCAAAGCCAGAATAATACAGATCTCAATGGCCATAGTCACGCCACCAGCACCACCCGCATCCCGGGGTCTGTCTCCTTTCTGGGCCTTGGGAGTGAATGCAAGGACAGGGCACCCTGTCCCCCTGGGAATCCCAGTCTCAAGCACACAGGAGGTGCTCGGCATGTGGGTAAGCAGGGTCCTCACCTGCCTGAGCTTCACCAGGGGCCCCAGGTCACCTCTGTCCGGAAGTGTCCACCCCCCCAGCGAGCAGCAGTCATGGAGATCCAAGGACATTTTGGTTCCTGGGCATGACGCACAGACGGCTGAGACTTCATACAAACTGTTGGTTACTTCCAGCCCATTTCGGCTGATGGGCAGAGATAAAGACAGTGTCAGACGCCTGCTCAAGTCATGCAACCAGCAGACCCCAGAACCCCAACTTCAGTACCAAAGGCCACCTGCATTTCACCATGGCCCCCACAAGGGCACAGTTTCCAGCACAGCTCTCAGGCTGGCCCCAGTGAGGTTCACCAACAGGAGCTGGCACCTTGGCTGAAGAAGCTGAGGAAAGTTGCAGCACACAGACAAAATGAAATTCATCCTGGGAAAAGTTCAAGAACCCTGGAATTTTAGTGTGGCTTCTCCCTCTGACCTCCCAGACAGGCCTTCCAAGTGAGGCAGGATAGTACTGGGGCCCTCACCCCAACTCCCCAAGACCCATCCCACAGAAGAGGACAAAGCACCAACACCTCCACAGTGCAGAGACTCGCCCTCCGCCCAAGGCAGCTGCAGACCCTCAGAGGGAACCACGGGGCCTGCAAGGTGGACAAGGGGTCAGGGGTCACAAAAATACCTGCCCACTGCAGAGGCTGCTCCCTGGGGCAGAGACTCCAGTCCCACAGGGAGGTAAGCTGGTCCAGTCTATGCTGATGACCACAAGTGGAGGAGGTGGGGGGACATGCGAAGGCAGTGTTTCCTCCCACATGCCCCCTGGACACAGAGGCTGGGCCTGCTGCCACTGGTCAAAGCAAGTAATTTTAGAAAGTACCTCACTGTGCAGTGGGAGAAAAAATGCAAACAAGTATCCTTTCTCTTAATAGTTCACTCTGTTTCATATTCAAAGTTGAAGAGGATCGCCTAGCAAAATGGTAAAGCTTTAATTTCAAATCACTTTTAATGCCCGTTTCATCTGACAGTGGCTTTGAAAGCAAAAGGCAATCTTTATCATTTGAGGTTTTTTAAGTAAATTGATGTGATTATGTCCAACATAACCAGATGCTTCTAAAAGCCAATTTTCAAAGTGACATCAGCCCCCAAAATAAGAAACTCTTCCTTCTGGCTATGAATAAATTATTAAAGCACTCTCTCCACAGGAGGACGAGGCTGTGCTTGACAGCCAGTGGCGAGCAGGCTGGCTCCAGGCCTTCCTCACAGACCCACGACCAGCGGTCAGCCGTGCAGGCACAGGGAGTCCCTGCCCTGGTCCCACTGCATGTCCTTTCCCTCTGCCCTGCTCCCTACAGGAGGCCAGAGCCCATGCCACTGTCCACATGCCTCAAGAGCCTTCACCACAAATCGGACTGAGTTCAGCTCACCCTGGCAGCTCGCCCTCCCTTGCAGGGAGCTGGTCTGGGACAGGCTACAGCCCAGTTTTGGCTGATGAGACCTAAGGAGGTCTGCTGGCAGTGGGGGTCTTAGAGACGGTTTCCTAGTTCCAGAAAAGAGATCCAAGAAAGAGGCCTCCTCTCTGCCTGGCAGCCCCTAGCAGTCATGAGACACCAGAAGACCCAGGTGTGGACGAAAAGAAACACATATATGGGCTCTGTGCCCGCCTTCTGTCATTCACAAAGCGCCCCTTTCCATCACGCCCAAGCCCGTGCTGATGAAGTGGCTTAGGGTGGCCCCCTAGATAGTTCAGGATGGGGTCACCAAAGACCGCATGACCAGAGGGTGGGAGCTTCTCGGGGGAGGGCAGTGGGGTGCTGGAGACTAGGTTATAAAAACTCTTGGACTCCGAGATTTGAGGAGCTTCTGGGCAGGTGGCACACCTGGAGAGGGCAGAGAACCCGGCACCCTGCCCATACTGCACCCTGTGCATGCTGTTCCTGAGTTGTATTCTTCACAACAAACCAGAGATAGGAAGGAACACATACACCCTGAGTTCTGTAAGTTGTTCAAACCAGAGGAGGAAGTCAAATCCGAGGATCCAACACTTGTGAGTGGCAACTGAAGTAGGGGAGACTGAAGTGGGACCAAGCCCTTAATCTAAGGGGCTGTGCTAACTCCAGTAGTGTCAGAAATAAATGGAATCACACCTGGCTGGGGTCAGAGTTGGAAAAGACACCATGCACTTGGTGTTAGGAGGCCCTAGACGAGGCTACACAGCTGCCCACCTGCCAGGCTAGGGAACAGATTTGCTGGCTGCTGGGTGACATCTTTGTTATTTCCCAAGGCATCCTCCGGACTGTTGGGATAGTCTCTGTAGGCCCTCCTTGAGGCCACAATCCCTTATGCACACACTTTTCCTCCAGGGACTGAGTTTCTACACCATGATGAAGTCAGAGGGACCCCACATGCTGCCAGAAAGATGAAAGTGCTCTGGATTCAAGCAGGACCCCACAAGAAGCAGACCCCCAGGGACCCAGTGGCAATTTAGCACTCTGTCAGAATCATAACGGTGCCTCAGTCTCGCAGCCACACGGTGGAAACATGGGGCAACTTTGGCCCTCGAACCCCTGCTCCCACCACCCCACCTCAGACTAAACGGGGAAGCACAGCTGTTCCCATGTGAGCCAGATGGGCAGCCCCTTGCCCTTGCCCTAACTCTCCCAACAAACGCTTCCCCATGAATGCCCTGGGCTGCTGGGTCTACCTGCTGGTGATGGTGTTGTTCTTATCCTTCAGCGCAAGCTCTCTCTGCTGTACCTCGACAACAAATCTGGAAAGGTCTTCCGGAGACCTGAGGAATTAAGAAGACACACTCAGTTTCAGTTGTTCCCTGTAAGTAAATCTAATTCTGCATACAAAATAAATAGAAAGCCCAAAACAATGCCCATAGCTGCTCTGTTTCCAGGAAGGCGTGCTCTCACCATGACCCAGGTTCAACCACAGCCTGCCACTAGCTACGCAACACTGGACAAATTATTTTTATAAGCCTTTATCTCATTTCACCTGCAAAAATAGGGACAATCTATAGCAAATAGTGTCTATATGCAGAGGGAATGAAGTAACATTTATGAAGCACCTGCCAAGTGCCTGGCAAAGAGGAGTACACAGTAGCTTTAGTCTCCTCTCCTCACCTCTCTCCCTCAACACCCCATGTAACCACAGCAAGAGCAACAACACATCCCCACACGTACAATGTGGGCTTTATAATGTTCAAAACTACTTCACACTAGCAGCCTCAGCCGACACTCAAGCAGCCCCGTTGCCATTTCCATTTTGTAAACAAGGAAACTGAGGCTCAGACCTATAAATGCCTGGTTTAAAATCGCTAATAAGCAGCAATGGAACCGCAACATGAATGGTATCTTCGAACTTAACACTGTAACTCAGGAGAACACACAAAGGGAATTTGAGAGGTTAAAAGTTATGCCCAGTGGCATGTGCACATTCCCAGACACACATCTTGGCCTGAGGACCAACTCTTGCTCTTTTCACCATCTGTCATAGTATCAAGCACAAGGCCATGAAGAAAACAAGTGCCAGGCAAGGCTGTGTGTGCCCCACCCAGGGCCCATTAGGGGAACTATCACTGGGTCACTGAGTGAGTGACAATGACTCCTACATTGGCCAAGCAGGCTGTGACTCAAGCCACACCAGTGAGGCCAATGCCCCATGGACACAGAGTCCTGCACAAAGCCACACAGAGAGCAGCCACTGGTCACTGAGCCAGCCAGGTCCCAAGAGCAACTCTGAGCCTCAAGTCGGCCCTGTGAGTGCCCACCCCATGGCCACCAGGGAGCTCCTTAGGTCAGCCTGCTGCAACCAAGGACTCAAACAGGAGCCACGTCCGGCCACCCACCGGCAAAGCTTATACACTGGGCCTCTGAGATCCTCTACCTCCCAAGAGCCACATACTGGCCTCTTCTGTCCCTTGAACACCTCAGCCCATGCGCTCCCCAAAACACTGCAACACTTCATCCTGTCCTTGGATGGTCCCTCCCACGGTCTTCCCATGCCCAGCAAGGTGTCACTTCCTTAACGATCCTCTGGTCATGCCCACATCCCTGCCTATGCCATTCCTTTTTTGCATGACGCTAAGGATGGTGGGAACCTTCCCTGCCTGCTATTAGTTTGGGTGTATCAGTGACCCAATGGTAACTTCCCCATCACTAGGACGAAGCCCCCAAGAACTCATCCTCAAGAAGTCCTACAATCCAGCCCAGCCTGGCGCAGCCCCCAACCCCACGGAGGAGCCCCCAGTGACTCCTCACACACCCTGGGTCTCTGTCAGCAGTGCCCACCCCACGTGTCCTCCCTCCCCCAACTGCAGCCTCCTCCCACAGAGTATGCCTTGGCTCTCCTTTCCACACCCCCAGAGGCCTCCTCCGACCACCGGCAGGAAAGCCCCTTGTGTGGATTCATGCGAGGGCATGGCACAAATGGATATGGAATCACCAGACACCGTGCAGGGATTTCTATCCAAACCTCCCTCAATACGAGTGAACTACTGATTAGAAAACACTTTAGTGGGGAAAATGTTTATTATTAAAAGATCTTTGGAGAAACTGCAATCTAGGAGGGCAGTAAAAGGTGAGTTCTACCTTGAAAGCTAGTTACCACTCTTTTCATAGCTTCCTAAAGCTTTCCAACCTAAGGGAGTTAAAAATACTGGTGCAAATATAAGTACGCAAATAAATAAACCTTTCCAAGCCAAGAGATAATTTCTTTTGAAACATTTAAAAGAGATATTTAAGTTGTTTTTCATTTTTCTACATTAGTCAGAGGGGTATGTAAATTGTTACTAAGTCAACAGGAAAAGTTTATTTAAAACAAATAAACACAATGACTTATGTCCACATTTCCAAAGCTGCCTCCCAGCCTCTCTTGGCCTAGCACCACCAGCTCTGCCTGGGGTGTAGGGGGGTGGCCAGCTGCACACCACCACCCTCTGCTGCCCCGTCTCCTCTGACCTGAAGAGCCAGTAGACAGACATCTGCCAGACAGAGTCACTGGGCTGTCACCCACGATGCAGTGGCTTCCTCTCACCTAGAACCAGCTGTCTGCAATACCCGTCTGTGCAGAGGCCTCCCTGCAGAGCAGGGAGGAACCTGCAGAGCAGGAAGCAGAGTGATGCACTGATGCCAATTTAGAAACGAGCTTCTTAGCCCCAAGTACAAATTTGCCCAGGAAGTTAGGACAGCAAGAGGGCCAAGACTCGCTGCTACCTGCAGCTCTGCAGTTCCCACTGAAGTAAAATAAATTGTTACCTGAAATGTAACAATTTAATAGAAGGGGAGAACTGAGAACAGTTCAAATGAACAGCCCCCACATACACACAAAATGCTCTGCTCCCTGACCATTCCTCTATCACGCCCACAGCCAGGGAGGCCTCTGTCCCAGCCAGTCAGTCCAGCCTCATTCAGCCCAGCAGGAACCTGAATATTTTGGAACTCGAGAGCAGCAAGAGTCTGGCTCTGTGTGCAAGTATTTTTAACCACTTTGGTACGAGCATCAACTATAGTCGATAGCCACAGATGAATGCACACAGCAACTTTAGCCAACAGCCATGATAGGAAGGTGCACAGCCGAGCGTCGATTTTCACCAACAGCCATGATATGACTTTTCTGACTTTTCATTTATCAAAATAAAATTGTGAACATTTAAAAATAACATAATGAAAACATATATGTATATGTTACCTATTCTGACTTACATTACAAGTAAAGCTGCCTGTAAAGTCAAACAAGCTTTCAGTGCTTTAAAGCTTTCCTCATCACACAAGAGCAAAACGGATTCGTCGTCAATGCACAGCACAAACTATCCTGCGGACTATGAGTGCCGGCTGTGGGCAAGGTTTCACGACCGGTGAGCGCCATACCGAAGTGGTTAATGCTGTCTTTTTAACAACAACACATATACATACACACACACACAAACAATTAAAAGGTTAACTGAAGAAAACAAAACCAAGGCGGAAAAAAGGTTACATGTAACTGGATTAAAATCTGCATGCAGATAAGAAAATACTCACAGAACAAACAAGTGCTATATTACAGTTGTATCCCTCCTGATATTTTTTTATTTTGCAAAAAGTTTCTTTAATTTTGTTGTTAGAACTTTTTCAACATTTTTAACTGTATTTTCTAGCTGCGAGACTGGAGGCCACAATGACCAGTCCTGACAAGATGAAACCACACATCACACTACACTATTGGGCTCACAGAGTGGCCTGTAGGGCGGCTACACAGAAGAGCCTCCTGCAAGGCCATCCCTAGGCTGGGGTACTCATTCCGGCCTCTGGTCACAAGATCAGCCCATTGCTATTCACACAGACACACAAAATGCAGAAGCTCCCCAAAACCTCCTCAGCCTGACAACGAAGGTGTGGTCGGTCCTCCCTGGGCACGGCAGACAGGCACACGAGAGACAACATGATGGCACTCGTGAGGCCAATGCTCCAGCCTGGGACAGAGAATGAGTGGTCAACACCTGCACACATGTGTACATACTACATGCTAGTAATGTGTCTTTTCCACCCACATTCCCCCAATCAAACAGGTCTAAGGACTAGGCACAAAAAGCAAGGCAATGATGCCCTTCACACCTGCAGGCTCTCACACAGCCACGTCTCAGCCCAGAGGTCAGATCTACAGATGCAGAGGAGCACACACAAGATGGGACACCAACCCTGGGCCATAGCGGGACCGGTCACCAACTCCAATGCCTGCAGGAGGGCAAAGATGAGCTGTCCACACCCACTCGTCCAGAGCACCCTGCTAAGGACTCAGCAGCCTCCTCCCAAAACACCTCTGCTGAAGCCTGACACCCACGGAATGTTGTTGGACGTGGGGTCTTTGGGAGGTGATCAGGGCTAGGTGAGATCATGAGGGTGCGGTCCTCATGACATGATCAGTGGTCTTGTGAGAAGAGCCACCAGAGAGCTTGCTGTGTCCCGCTCTCCTGGTCCTGTGAGCACACAAGAGAAGGCAGCCGTGTGCCAGGCAGGAAGAGAGCCCTCACCAGCACCTGACCGTGCCAGCATCTGGATCTGGGACCACCAAGTCTCCAAAACCATGAAAAATACATGCCCGTTCTTGAAGCCCATCTGTGGAGTAGTGCTGCGGCAGCCTGAGCAGACGAAGACACTCCTTCTAGCAGAAGGGCCGGACAAGTTGGCCAGTCACACAGGACACTCAGGGAAGGGCACTAGTGCGCACAGTTTGATTACACTTATGTGCCTCCAATTGCGTGTACGACTTAATATTTCTAAGTACAAAGAAAATAAAATATACGTACTTATAGAATATAATCTAGAAAGATTCACCCCAAATTTATAGCAGCCGTTACCTCCACATCTGAGCTAGACTGAGCAGTGGCACTCAAAGGGATCTTTAATTTTATGCATTACCTGAATTTCTTTTTTCTTTTTTGAGACAGAGTCGCACTCTGTTGCCCAGGCTAGGATGCCGTGGGTCAGCCTAGCTCACAGCAACCTCAAAGTCCTGGGCTCAAGCAATCCTTCTGCCTCAGCCTCCCAAGTTGCTGGGACTACAGGCATGTGCCACTCACTATGCTTGGCTAATTTTTTCTATATATTTTTAGTTATCCAGCTAATTTCTTTCTATGTTTAGCAGAGGCGGGGTCTTGCTCTTGCTCAGGCTGGTCTCAAACTCCTGAGCTCAAAGGATCCTTCCACCTCGGCCTCCCAGAGTGCTAGGATTACAGCTATGAGCCACCATACCCGGCCTGAATTTCTTATAATGAGAATCATACATTACATGTGTAAGTATAAA